GTCAAACTATATAGAATCTAATGGTTTCCCATTCATCTATCACTCACTCACTGATCCACACACATACTTCCTTTTTATTTCACATAGATTCAATTTCCATCATCGTCATTTGACAATTTCATACGTAATACATATATTACAATTGAATGACGATAATCGAAACTAATCCAAAAATAATCATAAAACAATCAATAATAATTAATAAGCAATTTTTAAGTAATTTGCCCCTATTGTTTACCATTACGATTTTCCAAATCGATCAATTGTTGTTTGGCAATTTCAATCTGCTGACGCAAATTCTCATTTTCCACACGCAACTGTTGCTTTCTCACCTCATTGCTTTTGGCTTTGATCACACTGAACTAAGTAAAAAATAAATAAATATGAAATGACGTTGAGCATTTCGACGATTATTAATATGTCTATTTCATACCCGTGAATTGAGCTCGTTCAGTGTTTCTTTTGCCGTTTTATTTGTTTCAATTACTTTCTTTAAATCGATACTCATTTTTTTTGCCACAAAGTTTATTGCTCGCGAAAAAAAAATATTCGATGTGTGATTTCCGGCACAGATTCCTTTCGCAAATGCCACCGTCCCTTGTTCTGTGTATGTATTTCATGTAAATGTAAAAAAAATCAACATAACCTTACATGTTCGATTCGAACATTGAAAGATGAACGAATAACCATACTAATTTGAATTGGCTTCAAATGAAAACCAAAATCAATTTTTTTTCTTTATTTTATTTTCAACTACAATGTTTATTTGTTTGTTTGTTTTTTTATTTTGAATAAAAGATAGAATGACTAAAACTTATAAAATGCAATTATATATGAAGAAATTTGAGCAAGTTTTATTGAATGCTTGCATTCTTAAGAGATTTTGTGATGATATTTCCTTTTTCCGGTAAATATAGGTAAGACCCTTTGTAGCAGGCAACTAATTTGTCATCAGTAAGCATATCTGCAGCCAATGGATCGTATAATTTCTTTTTGTCACGCGCTGCTTCGGGTATTGTGCGCTCGTAGTTTTCGCAATAGACCAAATCACCAGGTTTTGCATTTTGTGGTGGTACAAGTAATTCCATGGTGTCGCCACTTTTTGCGCACATAATCATACCTTCGGACAAATGTCCACGAAGTTTTGATGGTTTTAAATTACATAAAACTACAACATTCTGTCCGAGTAATTCGTCAACGGTTAAACATTTTGCGAGACCGGCTACAATCGATAAATATTCACCGCCAATATCAACTTTTGTCAAATATAGTGTATCAGCGTCTGGTGCTTTGTTCACTTCAAGAACGGTTCCAATTCGGAGATCCAAGCGTCCAACATGATCAACGGCTGGTGCATTTTTCTTTTGTTTCTTCTTCTTTTTTGGCTCTGATGATTCGGAACAGAAATCACGACAAATCGTTGTTGTTGTTATTGTCGTAGACGGCTTTAAAAACGTGCTCAATGACGATGTAACAACGCGAAATTCACACAATTGCCGTTCAATTTGACCGACCACCAATGGTTTGGCCAATCGAATCAAATTTCGAGATACTGCAACACGAAACATTTTCACGAAATGAGTATTCTTCTTTTATTCGCCTTAGGAATCTTCTAACTGCGTATGACTTGTAAAATACGTATTTACGAAATATTTGACAGTTTACGAATATCAACTCACATACGCAATGTAGTCTCATTGAGTCGGTCGAACGATATTGATGATAAGAGCATACGTGCGATTTGTTTGTATTCTCTGCAAAAAAAATTTACTATAGCTGTGAGGGTGTATGTGTATGTGGCCAATATTATGTGCTTATGTTACCCATATTATGCTAAATAGTGATTTTTGAGCTGGTGGTCTGTCATATCAATGATAAAATACAGCAGTTAGTAACAACGTTTAATAGAGAAAATGTGCAGTGATATTGTGGTGATGGTGCAGTGATTGCAGCAAACGGGCCAAGTGACAAGTTGTGTACAGAGTCGTAGGTCATCGTCAATAAATTCAATTGGATTTGCATTTCAATTTTATTTTTTTCGCTGTTGCTGTTATTGCTGCATCTCAAATACATTTTTTCCATATTTTTTTTTTGTGTGTCACACTATTTTTTTGACATTTCACAATATTCGCTGACAAATATTTCGTTTTTTTTCTTCACATTTTGGTTTCGTGTATGTGTTTATTCTTAATTTATTGTTTTATCACAATCATATTACTTCGATTTAATTGCTATTGACGAATCTGACTGAGAAAGAGAGAAAGGGACAAAAAGTAATTCATTGAATAAGAACCAATTGTGATATATAAAAATTGTGTCGGTGTGTATTTTATGGTGTCCATGATTTGTTTTAGTCGTTTTCGCTATTTATTTATTTATTAATGCAATCGACTGCCGAATGACAATTGACCATTGAAGAAAAACACATCGATTTACTTGCACAAAGTTAATGTTTTATCGTCAAATATTCAAAAGGCTCATATTTTTGGTGAATCAATGCCAAAAACTGGTGCTGAAATGGCGAGTCGCAATCGAAATAATGTTAAAATTGAAACAACCATCGAAGGTTGTCGCAGTGAAGCCAAATGGCAACGAGTCATTGAATTGGCTGAAGAACTTAAAACTGGTTCACCCAATTATGGTAAATTTATTTTGATGCATTTTTTGAACATTTAATTTTACTATGCGTGAGAAGAGATTTCTTGTAACTACCCATATAACTCATTTGCGGAGTAATTTTATCGATGACGGGACTGTGCGGAGTTCAGCGGAGATAGCATGCAAATGCTGTGTGTACGAGTGCAACAGCGTTCTTTGCTGTTCATAGATTTATTTTGTCCAATCGTACATCTTAGTAGCCGTACACACAGCTAAGTTACTAATAATCTGCGTAAGAATGATACACATAGAAGTGCTGTTACCCTCGTACACACAGAGTTTGTATGTCATCTCCGCCAAACTCCACACAGTCCCGCCACCGTCAAAATTACTCCGCAAATGAATTATATGGGTAAAGGCGACTTCTTCAAACAAACATTGTAAAAATTGAAGAGCAGGTATTGATCCGCTGAGAAGGTGAAAAAAATCCGTCTCAGAGGAACAATCCTTGTTGAAGAGTGTTTGTCCAATTGAATTTGATAAAGATGCTTTATTTTTCAGAATGTTTGGCAAATTTTTTGGTTGGCGAAGGCAAGCTGGAAAGTTTTCTAGAAGAAAATCCACCGATTGAAGTGAACTTTGTCAAAGCAAAAACTGGTCTGATTGATGCAAAAAATTACTTAAATTTAGTTACCGGAGACGATGGGAAACGAGCTGGCATCGCACTAGATGCACATTTACTATTGGCCAAATTATTATTTGCATGTGGCGACTACGAAGAGAGTTTGGAAAATTTTTCAAAGGCCGAATTGAATTCGCTGTCAGAAAAGGAGTTAACACTGTAATTGGACTATTTTTGGATCATTTTAGTCTTGAATTTAAACAATGGAATTTTCAAAATACTCGTTTTGTATATATTTTGCAGGAGAAGTTTAAAAATCTTAGCTGAATCGTATGCAATAAAGGGATTATGTTTAGAAAATCTTGGTCACAAAGCTGGTTCAAAGTTCAAACAAGCGGAACGAACCACCGAAATGGTTGGTATCACAATTATTTTCTTTAACAAAATAAAAAAAATTGTAATCGTACCTTCTCTCCCCATCTCTGTGTGTGAATAGATAACATGTTTTGAACGCGCCGCTGACTTGGGTTTATTATATTTACAAGATCAAGATGTAATTGGATCATCGACAGCTGTGGTGGTTGCATCGGGTACCGGCACCTTACCATCATCAACTACATCGGAAAATCGAAAAATGGGCGCCATTTTAGAAACCGCATTACAACGAGCCCCATTAGTGCTAATCAAAGCGAATAAACTACAAGAAGCCATTCAACGATATCGATCGATGCTCACTGCAATCGAAACACATTCCACGCAAATATTGCGATTAACATTAGCTCGCCAATTGGCCGAAGTATTGTTGCGTGGTGTGTCCGGTACAATTTATGCGCCGCCCACAACTCCAACGCCTGTAAAAAGTGCAACAGCACCGCGTCGCCTGTGGACACCAAAGAAATATGCTGGTCGAAATCAATTTGTGCCAAAAAATTTGGCCGAAGAAACGATTCTATTGTTGTTAATATCCGAAGCGTTGGCAGTTCGTGATGCGGTTTTATCACAAAGCCCAGAATTTCGTGTAGCTCGAACGCATGCGCTGGGTAATGCAACGGCAGTTTATGATTTACTCACATTGGCATCGATGCGATGGGGTCAAGTGGCATTGTTGCACGAATCATTTGAAAAAGCGCTGAAATTTGCATTCGGTGAACAACACATTTGGCGTCAGTATTCATTGTGTCTGGTTGCACTTGGCCGAAATGAGCAAGCGGCGGGGTATACTTAATTTAAAAATTACTATTACATTATTGAAGAATGCTATCCATTCTTTCGATTATTTTTCCATTACATCCATTACATCAACCAATTTCAAAAAATCACAATATCAAAATCTATTTAGTATGTAAGAAAGTAGTAAGGGTCACACATATACACACATAAATTAAAAACAATTTGCAAATGAATTGAACGAAGCTGCGTTAACGAGATTTGATAGTAGTAGTAGTTCTGTTCTTCCACAACAGAACGCGATTCTTAACACAACTACCAAATCTCAAATTAAAGCAATGTTGTTGCAAATGTGTGACGATTACTTTGCTCTTCAACTATACATATTTGATTTTCATTATATGTTTCCATTACTTCCATTACGTTCCACTACATATTGATTAATTTCCATTATTTTCATTCTTATCTTTGTGATTAACCCTAGGCAAGCGGTCAAAGCGTTAAAAGAATCATCGAAACTCACACCACAAGATACAATTCCATGTTTGATGTCATCACGCATTTGCTATGAAACATTGAATCAAATTCAAGACGGTTTGCATTGGGCACAAAAGGCATTGAGCAAAGATACAAAAGGATTACGTCCATCACGTGCTCAACTCTATGTTGGCATTGGTTATCAACAGCTTGCATCGAACACAACGCTGAAAACAACACGTGAGAAATACTCGAAATTGGCATTGGAAGCGCTTGAGAAAGCCGTTCAACAAGATCCAAACGATCATTTGGCCGAATATTATTTAGCATTGCAACATGCATTGAACTATAATATTATTGATGCACTCGTTCATATTCGCATAGCGCTTTCATTGCGAGCCGAACATGCAAATAGTTTACATTTGTTTGCATTATTGTTGACAGCCAATCGTAGGCCGCGTGAAGCCCTATTGGTGGCTGAAGATGCACTCGAAGAATTTCCAGACAATTTGAATTTATTACATGTTAAAGCACACTTGGAACTACATCTACAAGATGCGGACACAGCTTTAATTAGTGTTAAGAAAATGCTGCAAATTTGGCGTGATTTGTATGATTCACAAACAAACGGCACAGATGGAAGTGACGAACGCAATTCAGACACAAGAAGCGTTTTTCAAGTGCATTCAACACAAATGTCCGACAAAGATTCAAGTAAGTTTCTTTTTAAAGAAACCTTTCTTTAAAAACTTTTCTTTTGAGAAGGATACATTATTGGTACTTTCGAACAAATAATTTTGAAATTTAAAAAAATGATTTTTTTTTTCTAGATTCAGTACATGCGGCATCACTAGCTGCATCAAGAGTTGAACAGGCGCTAAGCGAAGCAGCTAGTTCGTTAAGTTCATTTAGTCCCCGTCCAGGTCCACAAGGTGCATGGATGATTCAATTGAAAATTTGGCTATTATTGGCTGATGTGTACTTGGCCATCGATCAACCTCACGAAGCAATGTTTTGCATCCAAGAAGCCTCACAGATTTATCCGCTGTCCCATCATATTATGTATATGGTAAGGCAAATCTATGGCTCCCATATTATTTCATTGAAATCAATTAAAACATTATTTCTTTTGTAGCGTGGTCAAATTCATGTGCATCTGTCACAGTGGAATGATGCAAAACAGTGCTTTTTAAATGCAGTGTCTGCAAATCCGGGCCATAGCGAAGCGTTGCGAGCATTAGGTGAAACGCATCACATACTTGGCGAACCGCGTTTGGCCGAAAAAATGATAAAAGATGCAGCTAAGATTGATCCAAATTGTCCGAATATTTGGTTCAGTCTTGGCAAAGTGATGGAAACGCTTGGTGATTATAATGCGTCGGCTGATTGTATGGCGACCGCTCTTCAATTAGAACCAACCTGTCCAGTTCTTCCTTTCACAACCATTGCATTAACATTTGAATAAGATTCATTTTACCGAACCGAATTATTTCGGAGCACAGATATATAAAGTGTTTAAACAAACGAATAATGAAAAATAATGTTACCGTATTGAATACAGATTGCATTCATCAGTGCAGCGTATCGCGATTTTTCAATCGTACTACTACGAATTCCATATTGTAATATATAAATATATGTAAAGAAATCGCATACCAAAATTCAAATGCAAGTCACGTGGCTAGTTCTAATGTGATTTTAATTGTTATTTTTTTCCTAATTCATAAATAGTTTAATGTCGTTCATTTTTGAATTGGAATGAAAATAGATCGATTAAATTTTCCTTTGTTATTTGTTATTGGATCAAATATATTGCTATGAATATAACTAATTTATTCTTGAATAATTACGGAAGATTACCAATTTGACACATTTAAAAAAAATCATCTTGATTTAGAGAAAACTAATGGAACATTTTTGTGCAGCAAAATTTTGAAATGTGTAGTCTAACAATTTTCAAGCAGCATAGCTTTTTCACAGACAAACACACACAAAAAAAACAACATATTCAAAAATGCCCACTTAAAAGACGAGACTTTTTGAGAACTTAATAATTTATGAGAAGTTAAGATGATAAAAATCATTTAAAAAAATGGCTAAAAATGTACATATGTTATGTCTATAATAAAAGTCGAGTAAAGATTTAATTTGATGCACCAATTTGGTTTCAAATTTCAAATAAATTAGAAGAAAAATAAATTTCTGAAGCATTTTGTCCACAGAAAAAAAACTATCTACATGTCAAGCGTTCATGGTAAAAGAGTTTTTTTTTGTATTATCAAAGAATATAATAGTATAAATAAAAGAAAAATTAAAATCAACGTACTTATTTGAAATTCTAAAACTACCGTAATTGTCAGTGTAATTAATATATGTTCTTTTTGAAAGTGGAATCTTATAAAAGCTGTTAAACAAAATAAGACAAAATAAACAAGAAGAAATTTAAAACATTTTTTACGTTTTTTTTCTTCAAACGTTTGGTTGTAACGTTCCACTCATTGGCAATGATTCATTGCAAAAATGATGGACAATAGAACAACGAACAGTGTAAATGTATTACCAACATTATAAACGCATATTCCTATTGGTTTCAAATTTCAAACAAATCAGAAGAAAAATGAAAAATGTCAACGTTGGTAGAATACACTGTTGTTTGTTCTGTTGCATTCATTAACGAGTCATTGCAAAAATGATGGACAATAGAACAACGAACAGTGTAAATGATGCTACGCAAAATATAAATATTGTGGAAGCTGTGACGTTTCTACTTGAATTGACAGAAGAAACGCATATTCTTATTGGGTGTAAACGAGATCTTATTTAAATTGCAACTCTTGAGATCAATCAGTCGTTGCTAAAGATCAATAGAAGACGGTCGAGTATATTGTTATATAGTAGACGCTTGAGCAATAGTAGCCGCATCACAATTTCACCGATTTTACAGGGAATCAAGTAATTAAATTGTTTGTAAGAAAATACTCACAGTTTCAAATGCGTAAAAGACATACAATTTTGTTTTGATATGAATTGTTGTATGACAAAAGAGGAAGTGCGTAGTTATAGGACAATATTTATATCATACGTGTACATTTTATGATCTTTTTGAAGAAAAAAAAGAGTCGAATTGCTTACATTTAACATAGAAATTTCTAGCAAAAAACTACAAGTTTTGATTGATTTAGAGTGTGAAAATGTTTTTCTATACTGCAACAAATGAGCGTTTCGAATTATAAATTCATGCCAGTGATATGCGATTTAATTTACATTTGCAAATAAAACGAAGAAAAATGTATATACATCGTCTGTGTATTGTATATATAAATGTCATAACATAGTAGCCACTAGCCACTCCCCAGTCATAACAACACATAGCCGGTAGAAAAATTACCGGCTACTAGATGGTTTCGTTAAAATTCACACCAATGAAGTAAACACAGCAATACATGCACACGGTCAAAGTTCTATTTATAGAAACGACGTTAATATTTCTGAAACAGTATCATACTGAATCATCAGTGCATTAATATCAAAGTAAACTACTTGCAACATTGTTCGCACACTTGTCGACGTATGTCTATTGTCCATAATTCAAAGTTCATATTTTTATCAATGATCGCTTTATTGAGTTTTAATTTATCTTTTGGTTGATAACTATAAAAATTGATTTTAACAATTAGTTCCAGGAAAAGGACGAAGCAAAATGGATCCGTTTGAGCTAAATATGAATAAAGCATTTCAAAAATTGGCTGTGGATATTATTCCAGCTGATAAATATTTGAAGGATGCGAATGAGTGCGCAAACAATGTAAGTCACATTATTCTTGTATATATCTTGCAATAAATATTAGTCTATTCGATATAGACAGGAATTATTTTCTCTCATTTGTAATATTTTTATAGATCATGAAATTGCTTCAAGCAAAAAGTAGATTTGACATTGGTCATGTTCAAATTGCCGGCAGTACCGGAAAGAAAACCACAATCATGAGTTCGGATATGGACTGCGTTTTGTTCATAAATGGCGACGAGCTGCCTCCGTTCAAACATGTTTTGGACGATTTTGATAACATTCTGACAATGACCAATTCGTATCAAATAAGAGATGTGCGTACAACCAAATACTCGATCCAGTTCAAAGCCAAGAATTTCGATTTTGATATTCTGCCAGCGGTTAATTTTACGGAAGGTCTCCGTGGTGATGGTGATAGATTGATCGACATACAACAACAAAAAGTGTTGGAGCTAATTAGAAGAGACCCAAAAAAGAACGGATATATGTATTCCAGTTCGTTGGCGGATGCTGCAACACGTTGGATGAAGCGACAAGATGGATTTGTCAACGAAATGGTACGCATCGCAAAGTTTTGGTATAAAACCTTGTATTTCACTGAATATGTATCGGGTGCAAAAAGTTGCATCGAATTGGTAGCTGTACATGCGGCTATCAAAGAACAAAATATGGATCGAAAATCCTATTTAAGATCTTTCAAACGTTTCATCGAATATTTGCGTAATTTCAGCAATTTGAACATTCATTTCGAAAAGAATGAATTTGATGTTTTCGATAATAGTCGGCCACGTGTGGTTGATCCTGTGAATCCATATAATAATTTGGCGAAAAATTGGGATTGGAAATCGATTCAATTGGTATCAGCTTATGCAAATGAAACCGACCGACGTTTGCAGTGGCTTGCAAATGTACGAGCCATACGTTTGGATCAACTGTTTGAATCACAACCTTCGTATCGTCCAGATATTGGCGAAATATTTAAATCGAAAGATTGGTTGGTTAGCACTATAAACTATTCCTTGTTGCCTGATTTAAAGATTCGAAATGAAATTTTTCACAAAGATTCTAAGCTTCGATATGGCTTGGATATCATTAAGAATTACTTCCAAATCGCGATAATTACATCAAATGCATCATCACCAAACTGTGATGAAAATCAAATTCTGACATCTGTTGAAAGTACGATTTCAAAACAAATACACAATTCTGAAATGGCATGGAAAGTTCCTGAGAACGAAAACCACGAAGACTACGATGTGTCGTTCACTATGCCGGTTTCAGACAAAAGAGCAATTCGTATCAGTTATAGTTTATAAATCTTTTACTACATTTTTACCTATTTTTCTTACATATTTGATATATATTACTTTAAAATAGTATTTTTTATAAACATATATTAATAAGTATGCGTAAATGTCAAATGTCAATGTAATTGATTTAAATAAACCGACCAAAGAAATAATATTTTAAGAATATAATTTTTGCGAATTTTTGGAGCAGTTTTCATTACTTTAAAGTTAATTTCCTCTGCCTTTGATAATGGTGATATATCTTCAGAAATTTAAAACCAACATTTATTTAAGTTACTTGACACATAATTTGTTTGAATGTCATACAATGTTTATCTTAATAAAAGTGAGTGTGTGCAGAAAACAATGGTTCTAATCTTAAAAAATAAAAAATAAAATCTTTGACAATAAACTTTTGTAGGGTTTGATATGTAAATACAGAAATTTTTTTTGAATTTAATGTAATTTATCAAGTTCTCGCTGGACAGCCGATAAACAAAGTTGTGCAATGTTTTTTTTTTTGGAAAATTGACAACATGCTATGGTAGAAACTTTTTTTAATTCCTGGCAGATTTTTAGTTTGAAACGGTCGAACAATTTGATTTTTGTAGAATATTAAAAAACTGAATGTGTCATTTTTGTGATTTGAATTTTTCAACGATCCATCATTTTTGCTCATTCATTTGCGGTCGAAATTTATTGAAGAACAATCAATGCTGGATACGAATACTGCCATGATTTCACGTGTTTTCCGTTACTTTTTAGCATTGGAAGTGCTTTTGGTCTGCTTGTCATTTTTGGGTGGCTCATAAAGAACCGCTTTCTGAGAACAAGGAAATCAAACGTAAATAATTTTTTTTCGACAACAAAATGAACCAATATAAAAGATAGAATTACACTCTCTTCTACACACCTGTGTTTTCGGCAAAAGCGACCTTTGGCACGTGTTACACTTGTAAATTTCATCAACTTGCGTATTGGATTGAACGCTTGAGGAGTCGCATTTGCGGCACTTATATGTCGACGTAATTCGTATATTTGGATGCATTCTTGAACTTATTTGAGTAACAAAAATTCGCTTGAAATGTTATACAAATTTTTTCTGTGTTTTTATTTTCAATGGAGATTTAAAATGAATAAAAACGATTTCAACAGAATGAAATAAGAAAATCAAAAGCCGGGCGTAATTGGTATACGCTTTTGATTTTTTTATTCGATATATTTGTGGCAAAAGACGTTCAAATACAATATTTTTATATACAATTTTAAAATAGGTAAACAAATTAAAATAAACAACCAACTCAAATTGAACGGTGATCCGTGAAAAAATATGCTGATGTTAAGTCATTTCAATCCACATGAAAATTTTAATAAACACTCAATTAATTTAATCAGTTGTTGTAATTTTTCAAATTGACTCAAGTTCATCGAGAACATGAAAAGAGTTCGATAATTCGTTGTTTATGTCTGAATGAGATACACTTTTTCAACGGAAACCACTTCCTTGGTCTTTGAAATATTCTATATATGTAATATTTTGAAGCATTCATAATTCGCTTTGTTATTAGAATAAAAAAATTTACCTTTTTTAAACAGAACTGCCAAGTTTTTCAAGTATCTGTTCATAAAATGCATTCAAATGATTGAAAATGAATATTGTTCAGAGAAAATCTTTTCAAAATAAGAAAATTTATTCATTTTTATGAATACAACGATTCAAATTTGAGTTAATTTTTCATCAAAGTTTATTTAAAAGCAATTAATGCAGCATTGAATCATGTCTATGATTCCTTGTTTTTCGTTATTTTTTATTACTGCTGGTGCCGTTGGTCTGTTGTTCAGTTTTTGGTTCTTCGTACCATACCGGATTCTGAAAATGAAACATATTGAAAGAGGACCAAAAGATATTTTGGTTAATTTCTTATCGCTTTTAAACAACAATTCGTATTTTTTGTTTGATTTTTTTTACGTACCTGTACTATTGGTGGAAGGGGCTTTTATTTATTTATTTATTTATTGACTTCGTCCTTCAGGACTCTAACATATTATTGTAGCTTAAAAATAGTTTTCTGTATATCTATATACATTATATCACATTTCAGTTTTCAAAAACATTGTCAGGTATTTTCTTGATTTTTGATATAAAGTCATTTCGTGATGAGCAACTAGTAAATAATTCACTAACTTTGTTGAAATTACGATACATAATTAAGAAAGGATTGTTGTATAAGTAATTCCGAACTACTACTGGTATATCTAATAGGTTCTGTCATCTTAAGTTATAATTCGATGGTTCTCTATGTTTTATTCGATCATTAAGTGTTGGAGCTTCGATGTTTTTTGTTATCAAATCATATATAAAAACTATTCCGCTTTCAATTCGTCGTCTATGTAACAGGCGGGCTGAAAAGTTCGTATCGTTTCTAAGAAAGGGCGCTACCATAACGAAATCCATTATGTTTCTGGAAAGTACCATCCTTTCAAGGCATACATACGAAATTTGAGCCATATCCGTCCACTGAGTCAGAAATTATAGCACTTGAAA